TCGGACTGCGCGGCCAGGGAGGTTTGGCTGCATATTTGCATGAGCTTCCTACCCACCTCAGCCTAGCCCTCCGGGCCTTTCCTCAACTGTACCCCTGTCTGGCGTGACCCTAGCCTCTTTCTAAGGGACTTCCTCAGCACATTTGTATTTTTATATCCGATTCTTTGTTTACTGGCTCCTCTCATGGCTTGTGCCCTTCCCCCACAGCCTCCGCCATGCTCTTCTGCGCCTGGCAGATAGGACAGGTGTTGAGACTGGGATGGGACAAGCCCCCAACATGGTAACTAACCACATGGCCAGTCTGTCCAAACCTGACCCGAGGAGGCTCATTGGGAGACTCCTCCCTCCCAAGGTACCTTTTAAGGGCCCAGATCTGATTTTACCTTGGACCCCTTCATGCTATCCCTGGGAACCCAAATGGGGACTGCTCGGTACCTTTGGATGACACCTGTGGACCTGAAGATGTTCTTAACCCAGGGTTGTCCTTTGTAAAAATGTTTCTCCATCCTCAATGTAACAGGAGTGTGTGAATAAACACAGACCTCCGTGTGTGAGTGTGTGTGCATGTGTGTCTGCTACTTCAGTCTGCTGGGAGACAGGTGTGGACAGTCTTGGATACAAGTTCCTGGTGGGGAAGGGTTACCAAGTGAGCACTGGCAGGCACCCTTGTGTGGGAACATCTTGACTGTGTGGCCTCCTTAAGTACATGTATAGCCTAAGCAGGACAGATGGACAGTGTGGGGCTGGACTGGGACCAGGAGCATGAGCAATCTAAATTCAAGGTCTTTAGCTTCTTAAGGATAAATCCAGGTTGGATGGGAATGCCCAAGGCTGGCTGGTTTGAAGAGGAGCTGTGTTGAACTTTACCCCAAAAGATCAAATCATAGGTCACTCAGTATGTTGGAAGAAGTGGGGGAACCCTGTAGAAATAATAAAAAACAAACAAAACTAGAAGCCAGAAACCTGGGATCTGGGACTTAGTTGGAATCATACTGTATTGGTTGACATGGGCTTTATCCCACCAGCAATGTTTTATGCATGAGACCTCTGGGATTTGAGAACCCAATAACCAATTCCCCAGCTCCAAATTGGGAATTCCAGCTCCCTAGGAGCCTAATACACAAAGGCAGAGAGGGCTTGGAGACCATGATTTCAGTCTCACAGACGAATGGCACTGAGGAAGTCCTCATTATCGGAGTCTTGGAGAAAGCAGGGTGAGGCAGGAGGACTGCGGGGTGACAGGATCTGGGCCCCCAGGGCCAGCTGGGCCACAGTGAGCTCTCTGCCCTTATGCATGAGGTAAAAGTGGAAATGAAAACCATTGCCATAGGTTGTATGCCTCAGTGACCAGCCATAACGAGACTGAGCATAGTGTCTGATCCTAAAGTGGGGACCTGCAGAAGTCATTGAGATGAACCGGCCTCCAGGAACCAGCACTCGGCTCACCTGCAAGGCAGACAGAGAAGCATCAGTGTGGAATCATCTACAGGCTCTCAAAGGTCAGTACTACCCACAATGACCTCCTCGTCAAACCTTAGATACCACTCTACATCCGGTAGTTCAGGCTTTCTGGGACGGAGTAAGCCACCTCTGCCTTTGGTTGTTTTTTTTTGTTGTTGTTGTTGTTGTTTTGAGACAAGGTTTCTCTGTGTAGCCTTGGAGCCTGTCCTGGTACTCGCTCTGTAGACCAGGCTGGCCTGAAACTCACAGAGATCCGCCTGCCTCTGCCCCCCAAATGCTGGGATTAATGGTGTGTGCCACCACCACCCGGCCCTCCTTTGGTTGTTCTTTATAGGGCTAAATTCTGGACAGGGAGGAGCATGGTCATGTATTGCTTTCCTATCAGTTATTCACTTTCCCAATCTATGTCACCTGTCTGGAACCTGGCTACTACTACCTCTTCCTATGTCAAGCCAGTATCCAAACATTGGCCTTTGTGAGTGTGGTCACTCCAGTCTCATGTTCTTCAGAAAACCATACTTTTGAAAGTGACCTGCTCCAACCCCCCCATCTCTCTCCCTCTCTTTGGTTTTTTGAGACAGGGTTTCCTCTGTATAGCCCTTGCTGTCCTGGAGCTCACTCTGTAGACCAGGCTAAACTCGAACTCATAGGGGTCAGCCTGCCTCTGCCTCCTGAGTGCTGGGATTAAAGGCATGTGCCATCACTGCCTGGCTCTAAGTCTCACTTTCTGATTTCTGAGTTCTAATCTCTTGAAAGTTCAAGCCCTTCCTCCAGCATCTGGTTTTTTTGTGTTTTTTTTTTTTTTTAAGATTTATTTATTATGTATACAGCTTTCTGCCTGCATCCAGGCAAGCCAGATGAGGGTACAGATCTCATTATAGATGGTTGTGAGCCACCATGTGGTTGCTGGAATTGAACCTCAGGACCTCTGGAAGAGCAGTCAGTGCTCTTAACTTCAGAGCCATCTCTTCAGCGCCTCACCCCCACCCCACCCTAGCAACTTGATCTGCTGTATTGTTGCGTCCTCACCTCACTCAGCACCTGGTCCACAGTGTGGATACCTTCAGAAGATACATTCCAGGGATCCCGCTCCCCAGCCAGCAGGGCATCCAGTGTGCCCTTCTCGAGTACAACATCAAAGGAACCACTAGGGAAGTCCAGTGCTCGCACATCCATGGTCTCCCAGCGTAGACTGGGCACATGAGCATAGCGAACTTGCATAGCTGCCACCACTACTGGAGAGTAATCCACACTGGTCACATTAGGGAAGCCTCCAAGGAATAGTTCGTAGCTCAGGGCACTGTTCCCGCAACCTGCCATGGGGTGGGATGGGTAGCAAAAAGGTTAGGTTAGCACTGGTTCTCATGTTCCACGATTATTTATCCACTATTGGCCCCATTTTCTCTCCATTCACCCCATGACCCCACATCAAGTATTTAAAGCAACAGGGTACAGAAGATTGTTGAGTTTTGGAATCACAGACTTGGGCACAAACTGTCTCTCATGCTCAGCTATGTGGGACTAGGGTAAGTTGCTTCAGTACCAAGAACTTGGAATTTCCATTTAAGAGAATGACAAGAACAGTCAGTAGCTAGTCTACCCGCTGATGCAATGCACTAAATTTAAGAGCTAAAATCATTTGATTCTTGGGACTTCAGTTTCCTCAAATTCAGAATGTGTAAAATATTGGCATTGTTAGGACCATAATACTATTACCCTATTGATATCTGTAAACTTTTAGAGGACCTCAGAAAATAACAACCCCTGGATAATGTCACGTTATAATCTTACTTTGATGTCCAAGGCAGAATTGATAAACTAAGGGAAACCTACATGGAGCAGAGAAGCTCATCCATTATACTAAACGTATGTACTGGACACTCCACTTTGGTCTCTGCTGATAGAGTACCTACTCTGGAGAAGTAGCTGAATGAGGAGAATTCTTTCCTAACATGCACTGGATTCTGTGCTGGATCCTCATCACCACATACCACATAAACAGAATGTGGTAGTGCATGTCTGTAAGCCCAGCAGGAGGGTCAGGGGTCATCCTTGGCTACATAGCAAACTCAAAGCCCGCCTAGGATACATGAGACCTTGGGTGTTTGTTGTTATTTTGGTTTTATTTCTAAGTGCCTGCTGTCCAGGAGTTTGTACCCTGATGGGAAGATCAAAAACAGAATCACAGCTACTTATGTAATGAGGGACAGACTAGCATCACACAGGTGGGCAACTGGCCCTACTTCAGGTGGGCTGTTAAGAACTTCAGATATACTCACTACAGCCTCTCCTCAGAAGAGCTGAGAAACAAGCAGTATCTTGGGAGGTGGGGGTGAGGTAGGGGGCAGGGGAGTGTGGGGTAAAGTGTCTACAACACAGTCTCTAAGCTGGCCGTAGTGGTGCACTCCTTTAATCCCAACACTTGGGAGGCAGAGGCAGGTGGGCTCTGTGAGTTGGAGGCCAGCCTGGGCTAAAGTGAGACCCCCCATCTTAAAAACGAAACCCCCACCACCAACAGAAGAATGCAGTCTCTAGAAGGGCAGAGCCAGGGAGAGGAAGGAGATTATGAAAGTAGATAGACAGCTCAATCAGCACCCCTGCTTTGAAAGATGCAGTGGTCTCCTGCAGGTCTTCCTGTGGCCAGTCTTGGCAGGTCCCATACAGGGATCTCTCCTTGGGATCCAGACTGCTTTGAATCCTTATCTGTGTCACAGAATCCTGAGGTTAGGAATTCAAGGCCAGCTTCATCTACATAATGAGTTCCAGGACAGCCTATGTTATATAACACCATGCTTCAAAAATCAAAAACAAGCCAGACGACAGTGTTGTCACACACCTTTAATCCCAGCACTCAGGAGGCAGAGGCAGACGGATCTCTGAGTTCCAAGCCAACCAGGACTACACAGTAAAAAAGACTACATTGTTAAAAGTACTTTCTTTTTAGATAGGCGGGCTACATAGTTGAGAATGATCTTGAACTCTGATCTTACATCTACCTCTGAAGCCCTGGGATTTCAGATGTGTACCACCATTCCCAATTAATGTGATGTTAGGAATTAAACCTAGAGCTTCCTGAATGCTAGGCAAGCACTCAATCAACTAGCCCTCCCCCCAAATAATTACAGTTAATACTCACTGAGCACTCAGTATGACACAAAGTAATTTGTAAGAATTATCTCAGTTTATTTTCAATATA